CAGTAGGTCCAACCCTTTCCCAGTCACCTCTGTTGTCTGTCCTGGGAGCTCCCAGGAAAGGGGAATGGGATGAGTGGAGGAAAATAACCCAGGAAATGGGTAGGGAATGTAGCTGGGCCACATTTGGGATGGGACAGGAATGGGCTGAGGTCTCCAGCCAAGGGGAGGCAGCAGGACCCCAACAGCTCCCCCCATGCATTCCTCCACATCCCTTGGCCAGAGTTGGGCTCTGTCTTTGCCTCCCCCATCTTGACAGCTCCCCCCTTAGCAGCACTGCAGCACACAGGGGTGTACAAAACAGTGAACGCTTTTTATTTCGCTGCTGGAGTGAAACCACCGTAATTTCATAAAACTCAAAAAAAAAAGAAAAAGTGATTACTCAAAGGCATACATTTTGTTTTTTCCTTTTTACACAAGACGTAAGTAAACAGACAAAGTTTCTTTTGAAAAAGGTTATAAAGTGTCAAGATCCTCTACCTCATCTGCATATTCAAAGTGATGCCATCTCATACAAAAAGCATTGGGTATAATAACTTAGCTATGGCTCAGACCAAAAAAAAAAGAAAAAAAAAAAGAAAAAAAAGAAAAAAAAAATAAAAGAGTCATCTGGGCTTAATCTACAAACTACTATGATTGCCCACGGAGTTAAAAAGGAAAATATGCAGTTCTTTGTTGCACAGAAACAGCAGGGAAGTCCAGAGTTCATTGGGTGATCGTCATCTAAAGGGAAGCCGAGCACGGCAAAACGTCCCCCTCCCCGGGAATGTCTGCCAGAGCCTGCGAGCGGGACCGCAGCCAACCCGTGACCCCCCTCTACGCAAAGAAACCAGCCACATTTTTCTCCCACCAGACAGTATCCCATCCAAATCCACCCGCCAAACTGCACCTAGCCAGCCCGCTGGAAGCAAGTAAAGATATAAGACCCTGGAAATTGCATGGAAGTCACGAATCTCCCTGTGCACTTTCCCACTGGGACTAATAAAAAACAAACAAACCCAATGAAAAAAAGAAAAGAAAAGAAAAGAAAAGAAAAGAAAAGAAAAGAAAAGAAAAGAAAAGAAAAGAAAAAAACCCGACTTGTTCTATTGTAGATAGAGCAAGACTCTCTGCTTCCTCGGGAAATCTGTTACTCATAAACTTCCTCATCCGAAGCTCTCAGCCCAAGCACCACAGTGGCAGCCTTCTTGCAAGACTCATTTGTAAATATGAATTTACAAATGGAGAGTCTTTAAATATGTGTCACCAGATCTTTCTTAAATCAAGAGCTGGCCATTTGTGATGGCCACATCACCTTCCTTCCCATTGCTACCTCCACCACGCGCTCAATCTGACTGGCAAACATGGAGATCAGAAGAGACACATGAGCCTCTTATCCAAAATGCAGATAAGGGCACACGTGTGCCACTGGTGAGAGGACACAACTATGAATTCTGCTCAGATTTATTCCCCGACCTGAGGTTCAGCCATGATCAATTCCTGAGCAAAGCCTACAAACTCTTGATTTGATGGTTAGGGCATCTCTGCTTTGCCATCTCTTGGATCTCCAAAGCTCTTGCTACCATTGTGGAGCCCTGTCCCTGCAAACTGTGGAAAGATGGTGGGTTTCCATGGAGGGGGTGAGGGAGGTGGATAGGAGTGAGGAGGTATAAGACCCTGTTTGTGCCTTTGCTTCTGCTGAAAAGGACAGGAAAAGGTGGTTGGTTTTTAGCCAAAGCCATGGGGGGTCTCTGTTCTCTATGACATGTGCCAAGACAAAAGGAGACAACTGGAGCAGTAACAGAATTGGCAAATACATCAGATTTTTAAGGCTTTCCTTTCAACATCTTGGCATCCAAGGTGAAACGAGGATTAGTGTACAAAGAGAGACCCCAAAACCAGCCCAAACCATGAGCCCTTGCATGCTTAGGCCTTGCTCTGGTACTATGTGTCTACTGAGCTCCAACTTTCCCTCTTCACCAACTGTCCCAAGATTTTTGTGAAAGAACCAGGCTCTTCTTTGAGATTTCTAACCCAAAACCCAGTCGGAAGACCTGTTTCCCCATCCTGTTACATTTCTGTGTCCCTCTCTAGGCTAGAATGTTGACGAGCTGGTACCTCGGACGTAGGAGCCCAAGTCCATATTAAAAAAAATCCCAAATATTTGCCAGTTCAACCCAGAGAAATCTTGGAGCAGGTTCAAGCCCTCCATGCAAGGATGGCAGCTCCTGGACTGCTGAAGTGTCCTGTCCACGGAGCAGCACATGGGAGATGAGAGCAACTTCCAGGAGACAGGGGAGACATCCATTCAAAAAAGAAAAAAGAAAAAAATTAGGACAATTAAAGCAGCATGGTTGGGTTGGTTTTTTTTCAGTGATTCACAAAACTCGAGTATCAAGATGCCCCTCTTACATCCAGAGGTGCTCAGGATTTGGTCACGTGGATGGTACCAGGTCAAGGACTGTTCTTACACTAGAAGCTCTATATGTTTAAGGTTGCTGGGTTGATGCTACATAAAGTCAAGGAGCACTGCAAGGCCTGTCCCCAACCCTCATGTTCCTCCACCCCCAGACAAGCCCACCAAGCTGAGGTTTGAGCGTACTCTGATCAGAGCTGAGCACCAAGCAATTCCACCATCACCATCCAAACCCTGCATGGAGAAGGTGAAGAGTTCCTGTGGCCAAAGGAGGCTCAGTTCAAACCCCTCTGTCCCCATCCCAACCCCAACTCAAAGCATCATGGCTGAAGAAGCCCTGGACCACTTGCCCTGGGCAATCTGCCAGGTGATGCTCCCACAAACATAGATGAGGAAAACATTTCTCCTCCTTTTGCTAGGGCAGAAACACCTGCAAAGCAATGGTTCCCACCACTTTATCCCAAACTTTTTGCAAGACATGGCACCGCCTGTTGTGACCGGGGAGCACGTGAAATCATGAAGTCTCCTGGCTAAGAGGGACTGGGGCTGTCCCCATCACAATACCGAGCCACCTCCTACTGCCCCTGGGGATGAAGCAGCACCTGTTTTAGCAGCAGGAGGAAACAAAGGGGAAGAGGATGGTGACCCACCCAGCCAGACTGCTGCAATACAGGATCACACCTTTTTAATCAGCCCAATTTCTCACCCTTCCCAACCAAAACATATCCTTCAACCACTGCCACCTTCCCTACCAGACATAGGAACCAACAGCCTGGAATGGGGCAGGAGAAACTCAAGGGACCAAGGGCAGTTCTACAATCTGGGGGCTTGGACAGTCCTGAAGTGTGCAGTCATCACAGCTCCGGGGCCACACGTGGAGAGTCTCCACTTTACTTGGCACCAGAGTCCATCCCATGGCATGACCATCTGTGCTCACGTGTGGTGGCACAAAGCCATCTCCCACACTTTTGCAGGTACCAATAGTGTCTAACCAGCCTTCCTCACCACTTATCCCAAGCGATGAACCCTCTGAAGCAAATGTCTGTGGATACTCTTTTTAGAAGGCACACAAACCTTTGAAGATACCCAACACAGGACACTGAAGGCATCCCAAGCTGGGCAACCTAAACCCACAAGATGCTGGATGACTAGTCCTCCTTGCCCCAACATCTGTGATCCTCTACAGCTGAGGGGGTGAGCAGCAGTGAGCCCAAAGGATACCCAGAGCATCTTTTGGGTCATACATACGCCCTGGTGACAGTGGATGGCAGCTAGCTGTGACCTGGTGCTGGGGATCTGTCTAGGAGAACATGGGTGACCTTGCAGGCTCCACCAGGCAGCGATGGGAGAACCAATGGTCAGAGGACGTGCGGAAGACAAACAGGTTTTTTTTTTTTCCTTTAATTAGCAAATTTCTTCTTATCCTTGTCAAAAGAAAAAAAAAACCCCACACCCCCTACGTGCCCACAGCTGTTGCAAGCGTTCAAAGGCAGAAAGTTGAGATGTTTAATGTCCCAGCTCAAGGACAGCTCTGAGTCCACCCCACCAGGGCATGTGTTGGGGGGTTTCTGGGTGCCAGGTGTTGTGTTACAGATGCCACCGGGTGTGGGAAAGGCAGGTGCAAAATTTGGTGATGTGTTCTTGCCAGGAGCACCCAAAATGGCCCAGGACAGCTGCAGTGAACGCAGCGGTGGAGGTTGTGGACGTGCCCCAAGATGTGTGATGTGACCCCAGGGCATCACAGCCAGGATTGGGGTTAGCGCCGCAGCTCGGTGATGGGGACATGACAGGAGAGAACCCACCACCCTGTGCATTGAATTTGGAAGCTATAAATAAAGTACCCCACACTTTGAGGGACACAGTGCTGACCTTGCACCTTGGCAAAGCTGGGTGCCTCAAAGCCCTTCCATGGTCCCCGAGTTTCCCAGCACCTCTGCCTTCGCTGCAGCAAGTCCCCAACGAGCCCCATCTGCAGCATCCCAGCTGGCATCAAGGCAATGGGGAGATGGTGAAGTGGCAGAAGGGTCAGGAAAATGGGAGAATGGTGCTGGGGGGACTTAGCTCAGCCCTTCTCGTGGTTGCCAGCACCAAGCTACAAGCCTCCTTCACCTGTCCCTGCTATCACCATCTTCCTCCCCACCTCCATCCCCGCTGCTGCAGCCCTTATTTATAGGGAAGAGGTGGGAAAGGGTTTTTCTGGGGGTGTTCTAGCCTTCCTGCTCCCCATCCCTTCTCAGCTGGCACAGCCCTGCCTTGATCATTCCAAACCAAGCGCCTCTGCACCCATCCCTCTCAGTGCAACGGGAGGGGAAAGGGAGGAGGAGGAAGGTGATGAAGAACCGTCATGTGAGCTCATTGCCTGCTAACGCCAAGAGTCCAAGGGCAGTGCTGCCTTCCCTTCTTGGGGCTGTAGCTGGAGAGAGCAGCCTTTTTTGGGGGTCAGGTAAGATGACCATGCTGTGGGTGTTAGAACACGCTGGTGGTGCTCCATGTCCCCCTACCCCAGCCCTGTCAGTGGGGTGGCACGTGGGGTGCACGGGGCTCGGCGAGGAGGTGAGGGGGTGGGATGCGTGCGAGTGCCCGGGTGTCTTGTGTGCACGGATTTTGGCAAGAGGTCATTGAGGTTACATGATGCAGCATTTGTTCTTGTGGTTGTGAGGGTCCTTAAATCGGAGTCTCTGCTTTGGTCGGTATTTTTCCAAGTACGTCAGCTGCTTGCTGTTGATGGCTCCTCTGCGCTTCCTATGGGGACAGAGAAAGGCCAGCACAGTCAGTGGTGTGGCTGGAGAAGACCTCCCCACACCAAACCCAGCCCTCTTGGGGTGCTGAACCCTCCTGCCTGGAGCAGGAAGAGATTTTGGAGGCTGCAGACTCATATGTCCTGCAGGGATGGAGACAGGCACTAACCCCAGCAGCTTTTCTTGCTTATCCACCCTGTGAGTCTTAAGACATGGAGAGCCATGGAGAGGCTGCCCAAAGTGGGTTGCCTCCTAAAAGCCCTCCAAGGATGCTCCCAGGTGCCTCTCCAACCTCCTGCAGCCCTGATGCAAAGGCACAGGGTGTGTGGTGCCGACCCTCTACTTTTCTTCCATGCCAAAAGGAGAGAAAAGCAACCCAGGTACCCCCAAAAAACCCCCTGAGGCACACGAGATCTCTCTGTTCCTTCGGAGAGGGGCTGCTTTCTCCCCAGACACCAAAATGCCACTGGACTTACTGTCGGATGAACTGGATGGCATCTTCATACTTCATCCCACTCTCGATCAAGGCCAGCGCGACAAGGACAGGAGCACTGAAAGGTAATGGCAGTGACAGTCACTCCTCAGCCACGTAGCCCAGAGGCTAACACTCCATCCTGAGGTGGGGGGACGTGCCCCAGGGCTGTAATGGTGGCATTGTGGACAATCGCTAGCGCTGGCTTTTAGTTTGTCATTTCTTGCCATTTGGCTGCAAGTGCTGCCCCAAGAAATGGCTGATTTTAGGGGTAAAAGCCCCAGGATGGGGCTGGTAGCTGTTTGCTGCTCTTCCAATGAGCATGAGGACTCTGGAGGCAAAACTATTGGAAAAGTGAATGTAAATACTCATGCAAAACCTGACCTGTGGTGGGGGGAGCAGCAAAACACAGTGGCTCTTGAAATGCAGTGGCTCCCGGTTGCAGCGGGAAGCATTCTGCAATGAATGGAGCACCTCTCTCATGAAGAAAGGTTGAGGGAGCTGGGCTTGTTCAGCTTGGAGAAGAGAAGGTTTTGGGGAGACTTCATTGCAGCCTTCCAGTACTTGAAGGGAACTTAGAAACAGGAAGGAAACTGACTTTTTATATGGACAGATAGTGACAGGACAAAGGGAAATGTTTTTCATAGAATCATAGAATGGTTTGGATTGGAAGGGACCTTAAAGATCATCCAGTTCCAACCCCCTGCCAGCAGCAGGGACACCTTCCACTAGATCAGGTTGCTCAAAGCCTCATCCAGCCTGGCCTTGAACACTTC